AAAAGGTCACCCCCATGACAACTGATTAACAGAAGGAGATTCAGATCTACAGATTTGGAGATTATTGCAAATTGCACCCAACCAGGTGTTGATGTGCAGAAGGTGTAGGATACAGGGACTCCATTCCATAAAAGGACAATATAAACTATTGACATTTGTTTATAGAAGGAGGGGACTGGGAGGACCACTGGAAGCTCACATCCATATCAGGCCACTCCCCACAAGATATTTTGATGAAATTGTGCTGTACTTGTACATGACCATTGGGTATGGGTGAGAAGCTAGAATAAAAGATCGGGGAAGAATAAGAGAAAACAGGCTCCATCTCTGAGGTATGGGGAGGCCATCACCCATGCTGGGTGAAGACCTTCCAGTGCAGTTGCTTTGGGGTTATCCATGCTCTGGTCAGTAAACCCTCACCCATTCTCTCTAGGTAAGTCCAATAAACCCATTGGTTCCCAGGGTGAATTGTGGAAGAACTGTACCTTGGTTTGTTGTTAGGACCTTAGAAGGAGGGAGTAGATGTTCATATCTTTCCCAGGGAAGGAATTTTCGCAACATAGACATTTCTTAAGAGAACACATAAGTGTGGAAAAAAATGTTTGACATAATTGATTACTAGGGAATACCTTGGGAGACATCACCTTAACCCAGTAGAGATTGCCATTGTAGAAGGCATAAGATAGCAAGTGCTGGCAAGCATGTGAAAGAAAGAGAACCCATCCATACTGTTGGAAGGTACGTTAGGATAGTTATGAAAATCAGCATGGCATTCCCCTCAAACAAAATAGATTATCTTAATACTTCGGAATAACTATTCAGTATGATGTAAATATGACCTCTGGATACACATCTGAATGAAATGAAAACAGCACATTGAGGACATACATGTTCCCATGTTTGCTTTGTTGTGGAACATTAGTTTAAGATATGTTACATTCATTTATGCAGTGGAATACTTGTTTAATGATGCAAAGACTCGTTGAATTCTTTTATGTTGCATTTGTTTAACTCTGTAAAGCTATGCTATGTTGCCTGCCTACAACACCTGATTGGTCTAATAAAGAACTGAAAGGTAAATAGCTAGGCAGGAGAGAGAACAGGCAGGACTGGTGGGCAGAGAATAAATAGGAGGAGAAACCTAGGCTCAGGAAGGAGAGTGAGGATCGAGAAAAGAAGGAGAGGAGGACACCAGGGGCCAGCCACACAGCCACACAGTCAGTTACGGAGCCAAGAGGAAAGAAAGATATATAGAATAAAGAAAGGTAAAAAGCCCAGAGGTAAAATGTAGTTAAAGAGAAATGGGATAATTTGAATTAGAAAAGCTGGCCTGAAACAAGCCAAGCTAAGCCCAGACATTCATTAGAATATGTCTCAGTGTATTTATTTGGGAGCTGGGTGGTAGGCCCCCTTAAAAGTAAAAACACAAAACTAAACTAAATGTCTTTATAATGATTATTGTAGTATTGCGGGTGTGGAGGGAGCAGAGAGTTAATAGAGGTAGGGTTCAAAGATAGAGTAAGAATATGCTCTAGACCCCCCCACTAGTTGGTAATATTGTACTTACTGCAAAATTCAAAATACTTAAATACTTTAAAATATCTAGAGGAGAGGCCTTGGAATGTTTGCCACAAGGAAATGAAACTTTGGAGGGATATGCTAGTTGCCCTGACTTGGTTATCCTACAACACATAAATGTACAGCTATCACACTCTATCGATAATCTGTATAACTATTACACATCAATTAAAATTAAAGCCAAAGCAGAATAACCACACTAGATGTATTACAGGCCAAATTTTCAGAAACTGACTGTGGACTAGCATTTGTTTTCAAAGCCCTACACTCTTTTCTTCCTGATTCTTTTTTCAGGACAGGGTTTCTCTGTGAAGCAGGCCCATGGGGGTCCTGTGGCACACACTTGTAATCACAGTGCGGCTTGCAGAGCATGTCACCTGCTGTCTTGGTGACCAGCACAGACTCTGTTTATGAGTCTTTGCTTGCTATGCCACTTAGCTGGATGGATTTAAAGAGAGGACTGTGGCCAGTGTCACTGTGTGCTAAAAACGGCTACTTAGAGCATGCAGAGAGCATAGGCATCAGGTTGAGTTTAGTCATCTTGAGCCGTGTGGAGAGGAACTGAAAGAAAAGCAATCCTTGTCACCCAAGTGAAGGATACCACTAAACACTGTGTCTTTGACTGGTGTGTTTGCTTTTCCTCGCCTTTGCTCTACTTTACGCCTTGGTGTAGCAGTTCAAAGTGATGGCAATGGCCTTCAACACTCTAACTCTAGTACTAGTGTCACCACTGCAGCCTTTCAAGTCAGGAATCTCTCCATGCTTGAAGATTTCTGTCAAGGTATTTGTGTCTCCTATTCCACCTACATTTCCATCTTCTTTACAGACATTACACGGACAAATTACATTATGTGATAGTATTTTCCACTTACGGAGGGAGCACATATGTGTCAGCCACTGTAGTAGGCATTTTAATATTTTTTACATTTGTTTATTTCACTTCATGAGTGTGGAGATCAGAAGACAACTTACAGGAGTTAGTTTTATCCTTCTACCATGTGGTTTCTGGAGAGCAAAATTTTGACAGGCATGGTAGCACAGTCCTCACCCATTGACCCATCTTGCTGGTCCCTGTATTTTATTTATCATCTGTTAAAAATAATGCCACCTGTAGATTGGCTAGCATAATGCCTGAATCCTTACATTCTCCACTATTTCAATTTCTCACAAACTCTACAAGGGGTGGCCCCTTCCTCATACTTTGAAAATAAAAACCCAAAGACTGCATCTAGATCTTGCAGTCATGGGGGGCAGAGCTAGCACTCCAAATACAGATCTGCCTGGCTTCCGAGCTAAACTTCTCTCCTGTATAGAACACACTGGTAATGGACAGGGAGCACTGCATGATCAAAGTATAAAATACCTAAGTATGAAAATGTCATGACAAAACACTATTTTGTATGCTAATAAAAAAGTTTTTTTAAGGCCGTGGATGAACAAATATGGAAAAAGAATGCTTATTGTATTATCTATGGAAAGAAAGAATTTAGTTCAGTCCAGTATTTAAACAGTTCGTGTTGTGCTCTTGTCTGTAGGTCTAAACAGGTAGGTTGGTGGCCTCAAGTGACAGAATTCAAACTTGATCCAACTATAGCACTCTCCATGCCCATGACCCATATGTGAGCCGCTCCTGACTACTGCTCCCGCCCTCTAGGCAGCTTTCAAAGGCAAACAAAACCCATATGATCACTGAAGTCTAGAAATGAACTTTTATTTCAAATCTATCAAGAACTCCGGACAGTTATTGATTTTATTAAAATACAATTGTAAAATAAAAAGGAGGGCAGATCTCTTTCTTCAGTATAAATTATGTCTTAGACTTTCGGCTGCTGGCTCGGCGTTGTTTAAGGTGCTTTTGAGGGACGAGGGGGCTCGGAGTTCCAGACAATTTAGACAAAAGCAATGAAAGAAAAATAATAAATTAATTGTAATTGGAGACATTGCCCAGGATATGCTAATGATAAATTTTTTTGATGTGTGCACAGGCTGGACTCCAGCTTTGGTACTTTAAAGAAAGCATGTGGATAGTGTCCTGTCATGGGTTTGCATTCCTAATAGAGAACAAATTCACTGATTTTTTTTTCTTCAAAGGATGGAAAAATCAGATCATGACAATTTCAAATAAAGTACAACCAGCATTCATTTATCTAATTGCAACATGGTAAAACAAAAACACTTTTATTAAAATATTTAATACCAGAATAACTTATAATAGTATGAAAAAGACTGAAGTATTCGTTCTTGTTTTTCACTGCTTTGCTGACATCTGGGCAGAGTTGTGGTGATTTCCACTTCACACCCTGGATTTCAAAGTATCAAGGATGCAACAGAAGAAACCAATACTCCATCTATTATTCATACAGTCATCATGCACACATCTCACCTTGGGCTTCCTGTCACTGCAAACTGCACTTAAGAAAACAAAGTAAAAATATACATACAAAATATTTTCATATCAAATTATCTTCATTACCCTAGATAACCCCCACCCCACAATGCTATGATACATGAAAAAATGTCCTACGATGGCCATCAAGACAGTCATGTCCACTCAGCAACCAGAGCAACCTTTGGCTTTTAAAAGTATTTTGTAAAATAAAGAAAAATGTCAGCACATGCTGCACTACTGGATGTCATTCACACTTGCAAAAATGCTTTCCAGTCTAAAAAAACCTACAAAATAGATTACATACCCAGAAAAAAAAAATCTCATCAAAATAGCCCAGTTGTTTCATTTTGCTGTTGAACATTTGCTTTGTCTTATTAGGCATCTCCACATTTCTCTAGGTTTTGAGTCTTTCCAAGCTGGGTAGGATGTTATTGTTAGATGAAAGAGACACTCTTCTTCCTTGACAGTGATTATTCTCACTCAGTGGTAGTGTCATTTAGAAACAAAATGTTCTTTCTTTCAATGCAAGATTTCACTTAATTTTTACTTGAATGTCCTACTTGGCACAAACCAGAGACTGTTCATGTTTTGTTTCCCATATGGTTTGAATTTTAGAAATCAATTTTCTGCATGTATATGTATATCCACATACAGATATTTTCCCTTCATTTTCTTGTTCTCATTGCAATACAAATTGCCCATCAGAATTGTGACTTGAAATGAACCAAATAAAAGCTTTTAGTTACTCCGTATGGATGCCAGCCTCCTTTACAAAGGAACACTGAACTGAACTCCAATGCAAAAAAGATTAGGTCTTAGAACTAAACTATTGGTTTAGTTTACACAGGAAAAAATCCAGCAATTTATATCATAAGGCTCTTTGCAAAACTTCAGAAAAGGAAAAAATCCAAATTAGCTGTAAAGGGCATTGGGATGCTTTCCACAGTGCTCGGGAAAATAGTTTGTGATTACAGTGTGTTGTAATTACTGGTTTGAAAGTGTCTCTTCATAAACGCATACATCACGTGAGTCATTTACATCGCGTACAGGCTGCACCTTTTATTTTGGCAGCTGCTAACATATCAGATACGCAAACAAAACCCACACATAAAATTCTCACCGTCACCCTGGAAAGCACAATGAACAATTTCCACTCCTATAGGCATTACCGGGAAAGGGGGCTCGGGGGACAAAAGCACTTCATCTGGGCTGAACAGATTTCCAAGTTTTAACGTGTGAATGACTGGATTTATCTCAAGGGCATTCTCGATTCTGGCTTCGGTCCTGCACCAGTTTGGAATGATGCTGTCTAGCAAGTGTCGGCGTTGGCTATTTGAGGCACAGCTCTCCACTGCGCCCACGTTGGAGCTTATCTCAGGGAAGCAAGGCACTTACTGTAATGGTAATGCAAATGCTTTATGCATAGTTTCTGTAACATAAAATAAGTTAATATTTCTGATTAAAATGATTTTTTTATAATTTATGTGTCTTTTTATAGAAGCAACTGATATATTTAGGATAGCTGAACTTAGGAGGTTTGGATGGGAGTCCTCTTCATCCCTGCTTTGGCTCTTAGGATGAGGATTTAGGTTAAAAACAAAACACTGACATGCTCAGCACCTCCTGGCCACACTAAAAGCGCTGTGCCAGAGGCAGCTTGACTGTCTTTACTTCTGCTATGTGGGAAGACTTCTGGATGATGCAGCTGGTCGTCCCCTGCACTTCGTCTTTTCCCTGGGCGAGGTTTGTTAAGGCCATGGCTGCATTGATCTCTTTCCAGTACGTGTCATCCTTGCTCGGGCCCCTTCTGTTAGCTGCACTGCAAGTGTCCAAAAGAGAAGAGAAAGGATCAAACCCACTGTACTGAGCATTGGAGAGGACATTATAGCAAAGCCCCAATGGCAAATGAAACTGGTTTTGCTCACCTGTCACCTTTATTCGATCCAATGTCCAGAGTGTCTGTAAAGAGAAGCACAAATTTAGTCACCTGTCTCTTGGACTTTTTCTTTTAAGATTTATTGAACTTTTTTAGCTCTATCTTTCCCAGTCTGTGTGAGAGAGTGGGCGAAGGAGGGAGGAAGAGAGGAAGGGAGAGAAAGAGAGAGAGAGAGAGAGAGAGACAGAGAGAGAGAGAGAAGTTGCATGTGGCGGCCAGGAGAGGGCATCAGATCCCCAAACGCCAGCTGGATTTACAGGCAGTTGTGAGTCACCAGCTGTGGGTGCTGGGAACCAAATGCAGGTCCGCTGCAAGATCGGAAACTGCTCTTGAACACTGAGCTATCTACCCCTCCAGTCCTGTTTAATCTTGGGACATCTTCATTTAATTGCCAAGAATAAAGTTTCATCCGGAAATATGGTTGAAAATTAATTTTTAAAACAGAATCTCAGAAGTTATTAAGGTGAAAAGATTAATTTGTTGGAGGAAGTTGAGCCTTCACAGGGAAAGACTGTGCAGGGATGTGTACTGGCTGTACTGGGCCAGTCAATGTTCTTGCTCATTTCTCACCTATCAGCAACTATCAGCACATTACCATGCCCCATAAGAGTGATTTGTTTTCTTCAAGGACACAGTAAGGAGTTTCCTAGAAGCTGGTGAGACACCGCCTGCCCCCCCCCCCAAGACCTTAATATTCTGCAATTTGCTGGGACTCAAGCTTGAGGGGAGAGGTGAGATTGACAGGCCTGGATAGTCAACACTGTTGACAATAACACGATGCTCCTGGCACATCAAAAGAAGCCAGTCTTCAGTCTCCAGGACTACTCCTGGCCCTGCTGTCCTGAGAAATGAAGCCGATGGCTTATGTGTGAGCACCCTCACCTGCGGTGCGCATTTGCTCCCCTGTCTCAGATCCCTAATCTTTTCTAATGCCACGAAAACATAATGGAAGATGGAGATGGGCTCTGGGTGTTGCTTCATTCCTTTGGCTAAAGGAACACGGCCTGGGGAACACAGAAGCTGACTCATTGGGGGATAAAAACGTGCAGCTCAGGAGTGGGAGTAGGGCAGGGTCTCCCTGTAAGCTCAGCAGACTCTGAATCTAGGTAGTGGATAACCCTTGGTCACCACCACCACTGCTGCCGCCACCATCACCAACACCAATGCCACCACCACCACCGCCTATGACTACAACAACAGTAGACAACAGCCAGCATCTAGTGAAGGGAACCTCAAAGGACAGAAAGGAAGCTGAAAATGCACACGTGTCCAGAGTCCTCCTCTTCCTATGACCTCTGCAAACCTGTCCTTTCTTGGTTTCAGTCCTTCCCCTTGCCTTTTCTTCTTCCTATTCACGATTTCCCTAGGCTTTTTGGTTTTTTTTGTTGTTTGCTTTTTTTTGTTTGTTTGTTTTTCTTTGTTGTGCACAAGGTTTGCTAGGCAGTGCAATTTAATGCTCAATTCAGAGCTCTAAGAGTCAGAGCCCAGGAAGGCTCAGCCTAAAGAAGAGCAACATAGTTACAATGTAGTCCAACCTGGGCAACACTTCCCAGCGCAAAGATGGCCATAAGAAAATAAATGGATGGCTGTAAAAGGTGGCCAAACCCAATGTAGACACAGAATCTTCTGGTAACAGCCTCTTCCGGTTTGCTTTAACATTTTTTCAGAGATGGCATTTATGTATTAATGGGGTGTATGTGTGAGCCACATCATATGTTCAGTCCAGAGGACAGGATTTTGTCCTTTCCTTCTGCCATGTGAGTCCCAGGGTCAAAGCCAACTTGTCAGGCAAGGTGGCAGGTGCCTCCAGCCACCGAGCCCTCTCAGATCCCAGTTCAGAGTTCTTCAGCTTTAGTGACTATTTATGGAGTTGCATGTCTCTTTGGTGCCCACAAAGTCTCTCCTATTACCTGTTTCCACTTACTCATGACAGGTACAAGATGCCATTAGAACAGAGAATAAGTCAAGGCATTTGGGTAGGAAAGTCAGTGACATTGGACATTTTACAGTGAAAGAGAAGAGAGGTGGGAGAGAGGCAAAAGGAGAGGAGAGAGACAGAGACAGAGAGAAATAGAAAATTAATATTTTGGTCTTTGCTCAAATTTTCCCACAAATGTTGCCAAAAATGAAGCAATAGGTTATGGGATGCTTAGTCAATGGAAAGATTTGTCAAAAGCAGCGTAAGTTCCATGAAGTACAGACCTCAGGGAAATAAGAAAAGACCAGGTTCTGATGCTCAGCCTAACTGGTTCCCACGAGTGAAGGGACCAGAATGTGGTTTCCTACCTGGCAGGTCAGCTGAGGGTGGTGACTGCAGACAAGCAGGAAGCTTGCAGCTAGCTGGTAGACATGTAATGTGATTCAGAGTCCTGAAATGATGTCGCCTGCATGCATAGATGAGGAGGAAGCCCCCAGAGTGGCTAGATGTTGCTGGCACCCACCGTGACTGGCCCCTTAAAGTCAAGCCACTGAGAAAGAAGATTCCGGCAGCAAGCTGGGAAATTATGAAATTCTGCTTACTTAGAAATGAATGTGTTTTACAGGTTGGTGCCTATAAAAATATCTCTGATGTGTAAAAACCCACGCTCAAAGCCTTGTTTGGACATTCTAATTAGTTTCACACTCTCTCTCTCTCTCTCTCTCTCTCTCTCTCTCTCTCTCTCTCGTGTACAATGATTCTGTAAACATGTGCACATTTGTGGGTGCTCATGCTGCATAGGGCACAGGGAGAGGTCACTGGGCACCCTTGGGTGTTGGCTCTGCCTTGTTCCAAGTAGAGTCACCTTTTTACCTGACTAGCTGGTTCCTACAGTTTCCAAGGTTTCTTCTGTCTCTACCTCCTATCTCCCTGTGGGAGCACTGGCATTACAGATGCTCCTACTATGTGCCCAGCTTTTATATGAGTCCTGAGGATTTGAACTCACATCCTTCTGATTGCATGGCAAGTGCTTTTATCCAATGAGCCATCTCACTAGCCCCCCCTTTTTTTAAAAAAAAAAAAACAAGTCTTGCAATGACATCTGGTGCATGAATCCCAAGAGTGAACTTTACACCTTTTTTAAGGCATGTGGGTACATCTGTTGTCATAAGGTAGGCCTGGTTCTGAAGTCAGAGGCAGAGCTGCACAAGTTGTAACAACTGGGAGACAGCTTGCATTTCCATCAAGGCTAAAACTGTCCCAAAGTGCACTCTTGAGAATTTCAGACCAGTTGCAAAAGCTGACTGTCATCACTTGGAAGCTTTTCTTCATCTAGGGTGTCTTGAGTTTAAAACAGAGACTGGTGTTAAAGGGGTGGCAGGACTTTTGTGTGGGTATTACTGGGGCTTCCTAGTGTGAGTAGGGTATTTCGATCTAGACCCACCCTGAGGAATGATGATTCTAGTTCTCAGATGACCCACAGAAGGAAGTTCACAAACAACCTCCTTCTTGAGAACATTTGTGCATTTTTCTGGAAAGCAAGAACTTTAAAGATACGCCAGTTTGGGGACTTCTATTTATTTTGCTGAGATGGAATCTGGGGACATCGCAGCTATTTTAGAGACTGACACCATCTGAGGACAGCCCAGGAGCTTACAATCCACAGCTAACACTGGATGGTGCCAATAAATGCTGTTACTTCTTTCTTGCTTTATCTTTTTCCTCTTTTCCAGTTGAACTAGTTGTCTTTTCAGTCCACAGTCAGTACCTAAGGAGCCGTGGGGGAATGCTATCCCCCATCACTGGTGGTCACGATGGTCAGGTCACTTTTGCTCACCCATGACAGCTAGTCTTATGGGCTCCTTTCTGGTAGGAGTACCAGGGGAAGTAAAGATGCAGAATAAATATTGCTGAAAGTCAGAAGAGAGCAGGGACCCAGGCTACAGATATGCCACAGGCTCCTTGGCGGAGTATATGAGCATGCACAGAACAGGATCTTCCCAATCGACACTTGGTCAGTGTTTCTCATGCTGCAAGTAGCTTGGCTCAGCCTCCCCAAAGTCTAAGCTAAAATGCCCTTTTGGATTGTAAGGCTCCAAAAATCATCTACGCTGTCAATTACCATAAAAGTAATTGGTTGGCAGGAACTGCTCATTGGATCAGCCAAAAGAGTGTGTTTTAAACCAAAAGAGAAAAGGAAAGAAAAAAAAGAGGTGGGCACTTAGGAAAATTTTGGATGCTGTAAAACTCAAAGCATATTGAAACTTAAGGTAGGGCTATCCTCAGTTGGGACGAGTGTTTCCTTAGAGAGTTAAGCAAAGAAACAATTACTCAAAACACACAGTTGCACAGCAATTCATGTTATCTAAGCCTGGGGCTCAGTAAACAAGGGGCCTTTCAACTTTCACGTATGCCATTTAGAAGCATCCTAATTTGGAGGTATTTTCCTAAAATAACATCTGTAGGCCTAGAAAGTGACAAAAGTATGGCTAACTCTTTCTCCTTTGTGATACATTTTTTTTTCAAATTTAATGAATGAATCCTCAAATTGGAAATGCTTTGTTAAGTGTTTCATGAAAGAGTACTCATGCCACTGCCGTTTAAGTAAAATGAAGGAAGATTAAGCGTGTGACTATTTTTCAAATTAAGTAATGTGAAAATCGCATAGCAGACATTTCTCTAAATTAAAATGGAGAACAGGAAAGAGAGGAACTGGGGAATGTAGGAAGCAGGGAGAATGAAGGAGAAACACTTATATTGTTCTGCCCAGAGGAAAGCAAAGCAGGCTTTTGGTCTAGGCAGATATCCTAAGATGACAGAAGATGGTATCTATCTACCTCATCCATCACACCTGGCCTCATGTCCTTGCAGGGAAATTAAAACCTTGGAGCATAGGTCAAGGATATAAAGAGAGTCATAAATCCCAATGTCTGAATAGTAGGCTTCCACAAAGGTGGTCAGGTTGGCAGCCATCACTGGTGAGAGCAGTTGAGCATGGCCAAGGATTAGTGTGTGTGTCTTAGAGACAAGGGACACCAGACCAGCTTCTGGTTTTCACAAGAGTAGGACTATGGATGAAAAGAACAAGACCCTGCAAGCAGGGTG